ATTTGCAAGGTCGTGTGTTAGCTTGTTTTCTTTTCCGTAGTTGTGAACTAATCGTTTACGACCATGGTATTTTACTAATTGGTCAAGACTAGATTATGCTGGGAATATGAAACAAAGGGTTCATTTTTAGTCAGTTTATAACCCTATAATCCATCATATCCCCCGCGATATTCCTTCCCTCTACACTAAAACCCAAAGATCCTTTAAACTATCTGCTGCAACATTATCCACATCTCATTCCATTATCTGAGAAAAATCTGCTTTTAGCATCAAATTCGGTAACAACAGCTATAGAGTTTTGCCATTTGGTCAGCACTGCATCTTTTACCATGAGATGAAGCATGTGTAGACCCTGTAGCCAGGTCCTTTGACAACTGAGTAAAGCATTTGGATAACTTCATCAGGAAATAATACTCGGCTGAGAAAATCTAATCGTCTTTCTATGTAGAAGCTTGCATTTAAAGGGCACATATTTTGGTTATGGAGATGGTTAATAGTACTTACTAGTGATTTAAATTTGTTTTTCTTGGTGACAGTCAAGTAGAAAAGAATTGGCTGAAGATATCGAGCAGTTGAAGAAGAAGATTGCAGGAACTGAGTAAATGCCAGCACCAATTCTGTACAATGAGGCAGATGCTCGTCTGAAGTAGAGTAGATTTTGATGTAATTTTCGTTTTATCAGAGCAACATCTTCAAATAAAATTATGTATTTACCATACAGTTCATTGTGCTTATAAATCATATAGTACATATTTCCTTTGTTTCTATGAACCTTTGATGCATGTTTAGTGCAACCAATTGTTCTGTTTGTAATGTTTTTTTTATAGTAATGCATGAAGACTGATAAACAGAAGAACTAGGAAGACCTCTCTTTTTCACATGTTCGACTAGTTTGTGCACACCTCAACGACTAGTTCTTTTTCAATTCTTATTAGAAACCAACAAGGCAATGCTAACTAGGACAAAAGAAATTCATTTATCTAAATTAAATTAAAACATCAAACTATCATTTCCAACCAATCCTCCTTTAATTTTAACAAATCCAATTGTGAATCCCCACCCACTTTTCCTTCCACAACAATTTTTTAAAACATATTGTAAATACATTTAGAATGTTAAAAAGTAACATACCCAGTTTTATCTCACACAATGAAATCTAGAAAGGATAATAATGTGGAGAGGTTATTTCGATAGAAACTCGGCTCAAAAATCACAAAGTTAAAAGTGTTTTATCATTTCTTAAATTTTGTGTGGTATCAAATATATATAATTCCAAGAAGGCCCTTGTAGTTTCTAAATTTCTTTACTTGCCCCGGTCCAATAAGGGTTTTTGAGGGGGTTTCAATTACTTCGTCACTTTCGTCAGTTAGGTTTTTCACTTGCAGTGCCAGATTCATTACACAGTGAAATCAACATGATGCGATTAACAGAAATCGCAAAATCCAAACCCTTGACCTCATCAATGGAAACCCTAGGACACCAATTCATACAGAAATGCTTCGTCAGTCGAACAGCAAAGGGAAAAGGTAAATTGAAAGCAGGGCAGACATTGAAAAGATCAAAAGTTACTACGAGGAAAGGCGCAGAAGTTGCAAAAAAAGAACCACCAAGGAGGAAAAGCGAATTTGACGAAATGGTTGAAGATTGTTTGTCTTCTACAGCTCCAGTCAGATCATTGAAGCCCAAAGAAAAAGCCCGAGAAGCTGAAAGGGAGAGAATGGGTTTAATTAGCAAAGCCAAAGATGAAGAGATGAAAAAGATGAACAAGATGAAGAAGGAGTTTGCGAATCCATGGCCGATTGGTCCACCGGGTTTGGATTTGATTTCACTTGGGCTTGTTGATGTAGAGAAGCTTCCTAAGTATGAATTGACAGTTGAAGATGGAAGGAGGCTGGCGAAGGAGAACAGTAGGGTTCTAATGCGCAAGCATAGGCAGAGGCAGGCTGCTGAAACTACATTGTTGAGGTTGAAGAAAGAGGCGATTGAGGCATTACCGGAGAATTTGAAAGCTGCTGCATTGGTTCCTGATATGACACCATTTCCTGTGAATCGATTTATGGCTACTTTGACGCCACCTATTGAAGGTTATCTTGAGAAGGTTATGGAGGCAGCTAAGAAGAGTTCTGCAAAGGAGAAGCTTAGATGATTGGAGGGTAAGGTGATAGTGTAATGCTACCTTGTGTTTGTTTCTTGAGAATCCCTAATTTGCAATAAAAATTCAATTTTTATGAGCATTGTTTTGCAATAGGCCCGACTAGAAGAAGTGGACCAAATAGATTAGATTGGACTTAGAGGATTTCTTATAGATAGTTTGATATTGAGTTGTAGTTGATTGATTTTGATCCAGAATTTGTACCTTTTGAGTTTGATTTATTTGTGTGATGATATGATCCAAAGGTGTTTTATGAGCTGAAAGAAAGCGCTAGGTTTAGTATTAAGAAATGTTACTGTTTGATCCTTTACGCTAGTAAATTATTAGGACATTGGCTTACTGCCGTTTAGATTATCTAGGCTCTTGTTCCTTAAAAGCAAATGTGTTATATATCCATAGACATTGTCAATTGAGAGACTGCTTGCTGTTTTACAGATTATTTGGAAACATGCATACTATCTGTTCAAGGATACAACACTATCTTTCCATCTTTATGTATTTCATTTGTCCTCAAGCATTTATTCCGGTTTAGGATGTGGTGGTGGTGAGTGTCCCCCTGGGATTTAGTGGGCCAAAATGTGAGCTTTCTCAATATACAATGTTTTTGTATATTGTATAATGTTCCATAGAAGATATTTCTCGACTGAATTTTCTTAGAAAACTATTTCTTCATTATTTGAATGTTTGGTTGAGTGTAGAGATACATCACATATGACAGTAGAGGAAGATGTGATTGGGTTTGGGTTAAGTGTTTAGGTGATATCTGAAGTAGCAAAAATTTACAAAGGTTTCTGCATGACTGAGAGGAACTGAGATACTTGTAACAGAGAATGACTATGCCCTTACGCAATGTAAGTTTTGTTCCCACCACCATGTTAAATCTTTACATTGAGGCTAATCAGGAAAAATGATTCCATGAAGTAGTAGTTAATCTTGATTGCTATGGTGTTAACCATATTAATAATCTTCAAGTATTGAATTTGTGCTGGTCTTCACGATGGTTATGTGAAGATGGATATGTAACCTAGATGGTTAAATTCCGGATAAAATTGACATCCACTAGTAATAATGACATTGAAGCTACTGCATAAACTACTACAAACCTAATATCGCAGCGACAGTGAATTTTCTCCTGGTATTTGACCTTATCTCACTAGATTCCTGTACTGACTTTAATATTCTATGATAAGCATGATGACTACTTTATAAGATTATTTGTCCAAGGCTAAAAGACCATCTTTTGTTGAACAACCTCTTTGGTGGAGAACTCAAAATTTCTTTCTTTTGTTGTCATAGAATATATTGCACTTCATGCTATTTCCGTTAAGTTTTTTTTTGTAACCCCTATGTCTTAGATGTTTTAAGACTTTTCCGTCATTGAGGTTATGCATTGATGAGCTTAGCAGCTTCTCCACCTCCTTTTAACTTCCTTTCATCTTAGTGAGATTCTTTTTCTAATTGTGATAGGAAACTAGTGACTGTTACATGCATTGACTTTAGTAATTTGATTCCAAATGCAGCTGAAAGTTTTTCACAGAGATAGCAAGGTTTGCTGGTGATCTTGTGGCATTAGGAATCCATTATTTAGCAGCAAGATGACACTGGAAAACAAGAACTTGAATAAGCCTTGTAAACTCATAGACAAAAGCCTTGCAACAATTCACTTTGTTTTGGTTAAACTGGCTTTTTTTCCGCTTTTGTGGTATGCCATTTGTCTTTATGCCACAATATGCTTAGTGCCCCTTGCACTAGGTTTGTGTTGGTGTATATTTCTTAATTAGGTTGCTTTACTTGTGAAAAACAAGTCATAGCTTTTTTCCTTTCACTCTGGTCAAACTGCCACCAATTTTATACGAGACTACTTAACTAAGAAAGTTCATTGTTTTCTTTTCTGAATATGAAGTTTTCTTGTTTCAATAATAGTAAGAAAGTAGTTCAATTATTGAGATTCTAAAATGTAAGCTTTTGAATTAGTATAGGAGAATCTCCTGTACTTTTTTCATTATCATGAAGAGCTTCTTAAAGCTTAGGCGTCCTATAGTAGAAGTAACGGCTATACAACTTTATGCCAAATCATAACGATAGTAGAATCAGTTTGTGGTCAATAAGCAAAAGAATAGTGCAGATTCAATAAACAAGAAAAGTTGTAAAAAAATGCAAGTCGTAAGGTTCAAATTCAGCTATTCAACATCAATTCTGCGAGGTTGTTGGACTAATAATGAGAACAGTATTGCAGTGAGATTGACCTGCTTAGTAATGCATCTCCGTATACCAGTATGTCCTGCATATTCTCTTGGGTCTCGTAACATAGAAGGCATGAAGAAATGGCAAAAACTGGGGTTATAGTCTCACTGCGTAAGAGCATTTCAAGGCAAAACGAGACAGTAATCATATAATGCATGAATTAGTACTCTGGGGAAAGAACCCCCAAGATGCAACACTGAAAAGTGTGACAGACTAATTTCAACTGAGTGGGAATCTTTTCCAGCATGGAAGCCACAACCAAAATGACAAGGAAAACTAGGCTGACATGCTCACTTAACATAAAAGCTTCTTTTTTAAAGTTCATCATCCATAAATCAAAGGCAGCAAGAGATATCCAGCACCACTCCACTCCACTACAAAGAATTGTTTCCAAATCTAAAGTCATAGCTACAAACCTACAAACATGTACTCAAAGAACAAACTCTGAAAGACACCACTAAATAACAAACTGTACCTTCACCAGTGTTTTAGTAAAACTTAGAGCAAGTAACTCAGAAGGTGCTCTCCTTTTTTCATTTTTGACTTCTGAGTATCAACACAGACTATTATTGCATCTAATAAATCAAGAGTTGCATGAGTAGAATAGAGAACAGGTGGCTATTATTGCATCTGCTTCATCAAAGCATAAATCTTCATACAGAAATACTAGTGAACAAAGTTCAATCATATTAAAATGGTACATATAAGGTCTCTCTCTTTCTTTTTGTATTGAACTCAAACTCTTAAGGAAATATTTGTGAGGCCAACAGGAACCCCCAGTGACAGCACTGTTTAGATAAGGAGTTTTAGATTTTGTCGATGTCTTCGTCTTCAAACTCAATGTAGTCATCAGCAGCATTCTCATCTTCTTCATCCAAATTAGCAATACCCTCATTGAGCCTAGTGTTCTCTGGCAACTCCCCATATGCCTTCAACAACCTTGCCTCATCTGGCATATACTTCAGAATAACATCAGCCTTGTCATCCTGGCAAAAACCCAAATAGGAAAGTTTAGAGAAAACAATTAAAGAGAATCCAAGTTCACATTATATAAGAACTGAGAAAACATAAACAAGTAACCCAATGTAGATTAATCCCCCAAGTAAAACATTACAGAGAAGATCCTCACATGAGAAAGAGGCACATTTAGAAACCCAGAGATCTCCCTGGCACTCTTAACATTTATTTTTTTTGGGATAAGTGATCAAATATTTACAAATACTTGCACTAAGGGTAATTGGAGATTGCGCGGATCCTCTATTGTATCTAGAATTCCATCTACATCACATCATGTAGGACAACCAGAATTCACCATTGAGACCAACAACTGGGTATAAAGACTTCATATTTATACTTGCACACTCAAATAGCCAATCATAATACAAATAAATATGAAGATTTTACATTTATACTCTTGTGACACTCAATAATCAAATGAAAGTACCATCTTTGTTCTTCAAGCAAAGGATTACAACAAGATACCCCATGTAGACCCAAGTGGGGTTTGAGGAGGGTAGAGTGTACGCAGCCCTTAGAGAGGCTTTAATCAAAGAACTGTGGAACTAAATTAGCTTTGGCCAAATACACAAATTGCAATAATGCATATCATGCGTTATTGAAAGGTTATCAAAAAATTTACAATCAGTGAACGAACAAGAAATATGAATCATCTACTCAATTCTTTTTTGGGAGGAATCCACAACTTTTAGAAAAGGTATACAAATACATAAAACACAGCTCAAAAGACAGGAAGGAAAAATCAAAATCACAGTTTCCAATCAATCAATCAATAATTTCATCCCAATTCTGAACTAGTTGAACCTCTATACTCTTTTCCGCTCAATTCCGGTCTATCAAAATCTCAATTTTTCATAGGGGACGCGAGAAATAAAGAGGGAAAATTTCAATTTTTAACAGGGTCGATTAAAGCAATATAATTTCTTCCCATCTGCAAAAACCATATAAGAAAAAGATTCAATCGAAAAAAAATCGGATCTTGCCTGATAATCACGGAGTCCGACAAGGACGATATCACCGGCGGCAATCCAAACTTTCTTATGCATCTTACCACGTATGTGACAAAGACGTTTAGTCCCATCAATACACATAGCTTCACACCGTCCATTTCCAAGCATACGAAGAACTTGAGCATATTCCTGCCCATCTTCCTTAAAAACAAGCTCTCTCTTTTCATCATCAGCTTCGTTCTTTCCTCTCTTCCTATTCTTTCCTCCCTTTCCCTTATTCTTCGGCATGATTACTTGGGTTTTGCTTTGATGGATACCTTAACCCTAATTTGAACGATGGAATGAAACCCTAGAAATGACTCAAGACAGTTTCAATTTTTTCTTATCAGAAAAATAAAGGGATTTTGTTAATTCTAGTTTCCTCTTTATATAAATTCATGTTGGCGTTTTTTCTACTAGGGTCTAGGAGAGTCGATTGTTTAGACTATTTTACCCTTTTCCGGTTGGCTAATGGGACTTTATATGTAGGGACAAAACTGTAAAATTATTGATGCATTTCATTTTCTATTTTTTTGAAATTTCAGTTTTATTTTTTTTCTCTTCTCATTTTTAATGACTTAAGGAACATTGTAGGAAGTTTTTCTACCATCAAATTTCTCTATAATAAGATTGCTGGTTTGAATATTAGTAATTATTATTATAAACTACTAGTATACTTGAAGCAATAACCGTTGCTAGATGTGTCTAATGTATGAGTTTGAATTGGTAAAATTTTATTGTAAAATCGGATACGGGGTGAAAAAATTATATATTTTTTTAAAAGTAGATTTGGAGGAAGTATCAAACGTGTGGGGGAGTCAACCCAAATAATTGTAGTTATTAGATTGCGTACACTCAATTGTTCTTTATTCTATTGTGATATATATATATAAGAAATTCTTTTGTTTCCTGTTATTTTCTGCCAGCCGGAGATAACTTCAGAGTTCAGAGAATAAAGATATTCCTGCAGTAATGTTACACCATTATTACAAAAGCATAACCTATTTCACTTCCAAAATATTTCCCTTATAACATTGGATTACTCCGTTCATCCCAATTTATTTGACACTTTTCATGTGAAGTTAACAAAAAACTATATAAAAATATATAACTACTCAAAAAACTAGTATTATAAGTTGTTTTTTAGCAAAAAGATCACCAAAAAAACCGAAAGTGTCAAAGTTTAGAAGAATCTCGTGGAAATTCAGAGATGATGCCAAAAACTTTGTCGAGGGAATATTATATTTGCCACATTCAATGCATATGAGACAGCTAGGAAGAATAACCAATCGATGAAATCACTCTTTTTCGATATAGCTAAAATTGTTGGGCAATTGAATAGGTAAACATGCTGATATAGACATGTATTGTGCACTGTTTACCATTCACCATCACAAGATTACTCAATGCTATGAAAGCCCAATGGCCAGAGCTCACTTCCAAATTTCAGTAAGCATAGACTTTGTAAGCAATCATACCATACAACATCAAGTTTATGAGTCACCTTCTATATGGTATCCATGGTTTATCAGAAGAAAGTTTGCTAGCACAAACTCAGCTACACATTGTTGTACAATGTTTAACGCAGCATGACATGTACACAATATCAGGACAACCTGTACTAGTATTACATTTGAGCATTTCAGAATAACCAACGTAATTTTTCGCTCATCAATTCCATTTACATCCTTTTCCATCTCTGCAGAGCATATGGCAAAAGTGATTTCATACTAAATATTTCAATACCTAGCCTATGGCAGTTAGTGCCTTCATCTAAACCTTGTCTTACATGCTTTTATTAAACCAAGAAACAGAGTACCCAAGAAGCAAAAACAACAGTATCCATTGACAAAGGAATCAACTCTTGATAGTAAGTTCAGCCCTGAGATGGAGCATACCATTTGTAAAATATGGACTGTCCTCAGCGATGAAAGAAGTCCATGGTATGGCAAATAGATTGCGGTAGCCAACTGCCTTGCCCCCTGTAAAAGTGTAGTTACCTTTGTACTTGCTGACATACTCCTCCCCTGGTTTTGTTCTTGCTGCAAATTCATAATCAACAGCGAAAGTCACCGAACCTTTCTCCTGCATCCCCAGAAAGAGACCAAAACAGTGGAAAGAGCTTTGCTGATCCATGTTGCAATGTGCAGACAGGAAAAAACCTTGTCCCCCTAAATGAAATGCTTGAGAATACACTCTTCCTGAAGGAAAGAGGTTAGCACATTCCTCCCGCTTAAGATCCAGATAGACTACACATTGTTGCCGTGGAAGTCCAAAATCAACCACCTTCACAGGTCGATACTTGTAAGCACGCTCCACGAAACGATGACTAGTGGAGGACGAGTCTTCTGCAGCTTGGGTTCGCTGACGATGAGGAGCCTCAGCTTTATAAAAGAGAGCCTCAAGCACAAGCTTGGATGCAAATTCATGATCAAAGTCATTACATGCCAGAACCTTCCGAAGCTTTCTACAGCTCATAAAAGGAAAACGGATGCAACGACCAAGTCGTGAACCAAGGATTTCTCGCCGTTCCTCTATCTGTGGATAATGAGTCCTTGTCCACTTCAACACAAAGTCGTACACTGCATCCTCTGATGCTATCTGAAGGTCATCACTGAACAAAATAGCCTCTACTCCAGCAAGAGGCAACTTCATGACCTCTTCCTGAAACCTGTTCAAAGACAATGAGCTCATTATCAAGCACATACAAGTGTGACAGCTAATCAAAACTCACCAAAAGCAGCAGTAAATGGAAACAAAATTTTCACTTGTTCTTTGTCCACATTAAAAACAAGTACTGAATGGAAAGAAACTTTTCATTGTTTAACAATTCATAATAAAGAAAATGCAATGGAATTTTGAGTGATGGAATGTAGGGAAGAATTCCAAGAACATTTCTGGCATTGGATAAAAAAGGTCTTCTAGAAAACATAAATTTGTCACCACTGTATTGAACAAAGTATGCTGTGGAGACTGAAATATCATTATAAGGCAAATAGACAGCTGCATTAGAACAGAACTAAGAAGAAATAGAGTTTGATCAGTAATGGAACAAACTTGGTAATATCTTTGTATCTTGCAGCTAGGAATTGTTCTGCGGCATCGGTCAAAGGCTTAACTGCTTCAGCCATCAGGATGCTAGAAGGAAGCTCCAAATACAGCAAAGCGGACTCTGAAGTCATAGGTAAATTACGCAGTTGCCGGCTACAATGCCGCATGCAAGAAGCAACTTCAAACTTGTCGGCAGCCATGAGTACGTCCAGCAAAGCAGGTGCTGTATTAGTGGTCAATTTATTGCTATACATAAAATTCAGGAGCTCCATCAGTGCAGCTTCCTCTGCTCCATGAGAATAAAAAAGAACATTATTTCTCATGAAATTGATAGGAATCCTACAATTTCTCTACGGTGACAATATTTGACCCACAATTGTCAAATCACTAGTACTAGATGCTGACATAACAATGAACATAAAATGAAAGAAAAATTCTCTCCTCTGTGCTTTGCAAGTTTCTCATAAAAAAGGGAAGCTCAAAAATATGCTCACACAGCAAAGTGCAGTTCAATGTAGCAACTGACAAGAGGTCAGCAAAATGATATAATGTGTCTTAAATTTCTGCGTACCTGAAGCATTAATTCTTAGAGTTACTTGTCTTTGCTCAGACTCCCTCATCCCATTGGAGAAGAGCTACATAAATACAAGAGAGCTCAGTTGATTCTTCATGTATAAACTCAAGACAGTGCATAAGCAGCTTGCATATGAAAAAGAATGTTTACCTTGTAAAAGAAAGGGCTCTTTGCTGCTAAAATGGGGGAGCTGATATGTAAGGTTTCAACTTTAACAACTCTTGGAGAATCAAAGTTCCAAGATGAATCATCAGCATTAGTAGCTTCATCTCCTGCAGACAAAACACTGCATCGCTTGATTATCTTTCTCAAGGTACTTTGAAGTAATTGTGGGAATCAAACAAAATACAAGTTATGAACACCAGGAACAACTAGAGGAACATGTCATATGATTCTGCAATAAGATCAGCTTCAAAACAAGAGAGCGGAAAGAAAGTGAAGGACAATGCAACAGTATGTTACAAAATACACAGACAAAGAAATGCTACTACTCTATTCTGCAACATATAGCAGAAATAAAAGGTCAGTAAAGATGTACTTCTCTTTAAGTATGGTTCCTTTCCATTTTACTATACGTATACCCATCCCTTACAAGGGAAAGTGTCCTTATGCAACAGAAACACTGTTAGAATTTGTTTACAGTATTATCTCAAAAAAAAATAAAAAAATTGTTTACAGTATGCCTGGAGATCACCATACTTTAAAACACAATATCCGCATACAAATTCTTTTATAAGCATCCACATTCAAATTTAAAATATAAAGAACGATGAAACCGGTCTTAGCTTAAGGTCATGGTTCCGAAGAGATCAGCTATTGGCTCATTGGCAAGCATTTCATATCTCTGACTTAATTATGTTTTTGTTATATTTTATTCTTTTATCTTTATATTTTAATTCAACAGAGTGGCACTGAAGTAGCAAGTATTTAGACAAAATACATGGAAATTAAAGAAACCTCATTGTTTATCGAAGAACAGAAGCTGGAGGAAAAGAAATGTAGGACTGGATTTGGTTTAAATACCCGAGTGTGGTTCTTCGATCATTGCAACAACTGATTCATCTTGATTTTCGTTCTCAACATCTTCAGTATCAATTTGATTACAACTTATAACCTGCTCTTCAGGACAAGCAGTGATATCCAGAGCTGCAAATGAGTGGCACGTGTCTGGTTATCATCATAGAACAAGAAAAACCCATGCCAGCATAACAAAATCAGAAGTCTAACCAATATGTTACATACATAACGTTCATTTCAAGGGAAGCAAAGGTGCATTTCATAACCCCCTCCCTCCGTTCCTCTTTCCCCCCAACAAAAGAAAAAGAAAACATGTAATAATCATTTAACAGCACCCTTTTCAAACGGAAAAAGAGAATTTGTTAAAACAACTTCTTTTAGAAAGAAATAAGTAAACACAAATTTGTTAAAACATCATCTATATCACGTTTTATAACAACAACAATCAAATGTCAACTAGACCATTTGAATATAAGAACAAGAGCATTGGACACTGTATGATGCTGTCTAGTGGAGTCAGAGATCCTTTAGAGACAGAATTATGCCTCAATCCCGAATTAGTTAGGGTTGGATATATGAATCATCTATCCAATCCATTCTACCTAGTTCCTTTCATTCATTCAGATTATTTGTTACAGTTAGACAATCATTACACCGTCAACTATTGCAATCTTACTCCTTCAACTTAGGATTAGTT